GTTCCAAAAATAGAATTATTGTCCCATATCATGGGGACAACCCCAATACTTGAAATGGCGCGCGCTTACGGTCTCCGTCCCCGATTATGGCTCCTGTGAGTATAAATCTACTAGCGTTCTATCACGAATTCCGTTCTCTGATTGGCTACGCTACTCACCGTCCATTTGGTTGTAGATAGTGAGTAGCGTAGCAGTGTGGGATTGTTAACAAAATGGCGGCCGCTTCTTTGCGTCTGTGTTGTATTTGAACAGGATTTGAACGAAGTTTTAAGCGACTTGTAGATTTAGAATAAAACAATTACAATAATCGCTCTGTACACCGCTCTCAGTGCGTAACAGCTGACTCGGGCGCGGTAGGAATCTCAAGCTCATAATCTAATTGTTAAATTTAATGGGGTCACTTAAGGAATATTGTCTTCGTCTACGTCCAGTTTTAAAGCTACAAACTATTAGGATTTTCATTACATTCTTCAAGATTCGATAAATAATCAGGAATTGCGTTTTAAACTGATAAGTTAGGTTTATATTGCTTTCATTAGGGTATTAAAAAATCCATTCGGTGACCGGTGGTATCGTATTTTTTTTAAGTAGACACTTGTAACAGAGCTATCATTATTAGCACTGCGACTCCGTTAAAAGGTTCCGCAACTCCATCATAATTTTCCCTTGAAGCATCTATTTGAGGTATGTTTTCTGCTTTTATAAGAAATAATGGGGGATCGTTAAAGGGCTGATTGCATTTTTAGGGCCAATCCCACTATAATTTATGGGAGGTTTGAAACTGTACTGGGCCAGGAAGACAAGATTTGCTTAATAACCTTTCATCTAGGGTTTAAAACCTTTTTGGTGTGTATACGTTTTGGGTACTTTTGACCAGCGCGACAGCCTTCTCATTTTAATGTCACGAAAAAACGCAAAAGCTTGGACGTTATTAAAAAGCAAAGAACCCTGTCGAGCTAAAACGCTCTAAAACGTCAAGTTCTTAGAGGGTCTTTTATCTGATGGAACTGAAACCTCAGAAGGACAGGCTTTTTTAAATTTTGGGATACGACTACGTCACGTGAAAACCAGCAAAACTTATGAACCGCTCTTGTAGCCCGTAAATGAGCCCGCGAAATTCACTGGAAACTGTCAACTCAATCAATTCGACGAGTGACTGCAGACCGTTTTGAAAGTATCCGCTAGCGTGTTTACTGATCAGTATTTTCAATCACATCCTAAACAAGATAAAGCCACATTAATTGCTTTAAATGAACGGCGGGCAAGGAAGCGAAATCTTCGGCGACACTGCTGTCCGTGAAGAGCGTTCTATGGAAGGTGTAGTTGAAGTGATGTGCAAGACTCCGATTGCTGTCACCGATGGGTTAGTCTAACTTCCTTGTCATGTGCAAATTCAGTGTGTTCTTGAAAAAGCTGTTCAATTATCTATGTTCGAAGGAAATACTTAAGAGGGTGTCCGTGTAAGAACCGACCACTCGATTTTCGGCCGAAAACAGAATTTCTTCAAATTTTCTGTGTGACACAGTTAGTCCATATGATAAACAAAAATAGCAATAATTTGGCTTTAAGTGCTATTTTTCAATATTTCTGGCGACGATTTCCGAGTACGGTCCAAAACC